CCCTAGCTCTTCTCTTCTGCTGCTGCCCCTCTCTCTGCTGGCGGAACAAGTATCTGTCGCCCTCTGGTCCTAATGCCAAATGGGCAATTGGGCGTCTAGCCGATCGCAAGAGCCTATCGTCCGGTTGTGGGACCTCCCTGTCGCTCGTAGGCTACAACACTATACACGGCCTGCACTAGGACACTCAAGATGCCTACCGCAGCATAATGTACAAACCGATTTAAATCATCGGTGGCTGAGTCAGAGTAGATACATTCGGTTTCAACAGGTAAGTTCAAATTCCTACAAATAAAACTATTTTTAGTTTGACTAGTTTTCGAACAGAATGCACAATGAACAGGAAACAGTTTTAATATGCTGTCTGTCAGATGTTAAAATGGCTGTACATCTAACTAATAAAAACATAAAAATAAAATCATTTGTGTGGATTGGGACAATATGGAATTTTTTCCGAACTTATCACCTGAAATCTACCCCTCCCTCAGTTCCTCTTGAATGTCGCTTGACGTCAGCGTCCCTGAGCCATCCAAAGAGTAGTGCGTGTCTAAAGGTGTGCAATCGGCCCACCCCTTTGCCCCAAGTCCTGCTGAGCTGGCCAGCTCTAGCACATTGTTTATCCTCGCGTGCAGCGAACCCTACCCGGATTGGCTGATCAAGAGGCTATTTAAGGACAACCCCCAAGTGTCCCCAGGAATTATTTAACGTCGCAAAGCCAATGGTTTCCCCTGCCAGTGTTTATTTATAGACGCCCGGTTCTCATCTCCCACATAGGGCTGGCCTGCCCCTCAGAACCCATCTAACAGCGCAGCGAGCCGAACAAAGGACAAGCAGCAAAGCATGCGTGCTCTACTCTCGGTGGGTTGGCATGGTGACTGTGACCCAGTGCTTCGTCCAGGGCCCTTCAGAAAGTTCCGCCCATCTTCCCCCAGATGCTCCACGTGAACATTGCCGAGTCTCAAGGTTCAGCCCACTCGACTCCTCACAATGAGAGGACTCTCAAGACATAACACACATCCTCACGGTAAGAAGTGTCGAAGAGGGTAGATAAGGTTAAGAGCAACGTATCTCAAATAGCTGCCCCCAATTACAGAGATAATCTCACTAGATGACCTGACGCCGATTGTGATGACCAGTCATTGCTTCGGCACAACCAGCATTACGCGCCGTTCCACCTCAGCACCAATCGCACATCAGATAGTTCTCATCACACTGTCTAGAACCCACATTACACCATATAGCCTTCTTGGTGAACCCCTCTCCACCTGGGTTTCCTACTCTTGCCTTCGCCCTCCTCACTACACACTTCCCATGGCACGGTCGCTCACCGCACACACCGCGTGCATGTACCGCATTAGGCAGAAGACAAGCGCCAGATTAGCGCACCGTACCACAACTCTGATACCAAATTGCAAGGAAGATTTAGCGATAGCGAAGTTCAGAAATCAAACAGCATCATACACATGAGACCAGATAGTCGTGACCTCGAACCAAAAACAAAATTGCATCACGAGTTTCACCAAATAAGAACACAGCAGAAGGTCATAATTGACAATGCTGGGATAGTCTCATCATCATCAACGACGAACCAATGTCGGTATCCTATCTGGCGCTCGGCGCCCAGACTACGAATGGCAGATCCTATCTAGCCTAGACTACAATGCCGATGATGACGTCAACAACTCCCCGAAGTACGAGCAGATCTCGGACAATGCCGCACGCTTCAAGCACCAGGTATGTCTCTCGTATCACTCACAACCTCGTTCCCCAACTCACAGATGCCACTTGCACCCAAGGACCACCATGCGCCCATCCAGCGTACAGCAGCGCAGCTCGGCTATGGCTGCCTGGTCCTTCCAGCTCGCCCATGAGCGCGTGAGCGCTGGCCAGTGTTAGCGCAGCAGCGCTTGCACAGCATGCAGCCAGTGCCCGAATGTCCCCAGTGTGGGCTGGCCCTTTCCTATATGGAAATGGCCAGCCTGCGTGCGTGCAGCCTGGCTGTGCTGGGCCTCAGCCCAAAAGCTTCCAGTAGGCCCAGGGAGGCTGAGCCTCGGACCGAACGAATTGGCCCAGGGCCACCGACAGTTACCTGTGCCCAACTGCCCACAGCCTGAGTTGGGCCTGTGCCGCAAATCTCGCCCAGGGCCTGACACAGATGCATTTGTTAAAGAAGGCCAGGGCCTGGGCACTTCCAACCAACTGGAGCTGCACAACTGCCTGAATTTTCCCCAGTTGCGAAGTAGTCCAAAAATAGGCCTCTTAGGGTCTGTCGGGCCTGCCTTCACTTAGGGCGGCCGACGCTGTTGCAAATAGGGCCCCAGTAGGGCTTATCGAGGCCTTGTGCCTCGCATCAGTCTTCGCAAAAACAATATCACAATGGATTGAATGGAAGCACCTATCTCTGACATAATATAAGACCTGAGTAGATCTGGGTTTTGTGTCCAATCCAGCGGCCTAGTTTAGTTGGTTAGGCACGCAACTGGCATTCGGGAGGTTGTGGGTTCAAGACCCATGACAGCCTGCAGCGAGCGCACTTACCGCCAACCGACGGTGATAGTCCGCTTGATACCCCTGATCGGTACAAGTATAGTAGGGTCTATGACCCACATGGGAGTGTGCGTGAGCGTGAGTGGGTTGAGTGTTGTGTGTGGGAGAGTGTTCGCCGTAGCCACTGCTGCTACTCGATGGGAGGCGCAGCTACTGGCAACATGCTCAGTCTTTGCATTAGAAGACGGCCCCTCCACCGGCGGCCCCAGCCTAGTCCCTGACCACCGTCAATTAGGGCGGGGGGCGGGGGCAACATGCATGGCTTTTTTTTTTTTTTTTTAACCACCAGTCAGCACCTGCTGGAAGAGCAGACACCACTAGCACCTGGGGGGGGGCGCTCCATCTATTGGTGGGGAGCAGCACCTGCTGGAAACCGGGTCCAGCGTCCCTTACATAGACAAGGTTCAAGTCACATTAAGTCACCTCAGAAAAGTGCGGTATGATCCTGCCAGCATTGATTACCCTGAGAACCAGGGGATTGACTGAGCAGGAGATTGGGGGGGGGGGAGCCTCTTCACCCTAATCCTGGCGCCAGATAACTGCTATCTCTTCCTGGCTCCCCTACTTCCAGATTCAGAAAAACACCTGCTGGTCTCAAAAAGCCCTCCTTTTATAACACACCAGAGGCAACTGAGCAGGTAGCCCCCCGCCCTATCTACTGCTGTCTAGGGGGAAGCGCTGCGCCTTAGACCAGGTGCCAGGTGCCAGATATCTGCCGCAAACCACAGTCAGCTTCCGCCTCAAACTCCACATCGCTCACTCTGCGCCATACCATTGCATATCGACCATTGCCAGCTGGTGGGGCGGAAACGGATCAGGGAAATCAGTGGGTGGTCGCAGCGGGATCTCCTGTCCCACCATGGTCCAGTCTCTGAAGCTGATAGAATAATCACTCCTGAGCTCGTCTTGGTGGCATTCCTGAGCAGGTGCACCATCCCATTGGACGGAGGCGATCCAGCCCCCCTTCTCACTTCCCAACCAATCCCCCGAGAATTGCTGAATTGCTTGTTTTATGTCTTTGGGTGTCTGAAACAAATCCAGTTGGTTTTTTATTTTTTGCCACTGTGCCCTGAGTTCTTGTTGAATGAACTGTTTTATCATGTCTGTTACTTCCTCCCCAGCTATACGGACCCCCTCTAGTGCAAGAATACAGTGTTTTCTCCAGAGGGCCCACATGACAGCTCTCCTTCCCAACTTTAACATGTTGTTTTCAAAAGTGTTGTCAATGGGAGAGGACCATGTTTTGCACAATTTGGCTCTCCAGTCCCATGGCCCGTTGGAACCGGTGGCTAACTATGTCCAGATTCTATCCCACCACCGCCATGTAAGCACGGCTCCCGGACACTGCATGAATATGTGCTCTATGGTTTCCAGGATTCTGCGGGAGGGGAAGGCGGTGTGGCACGACTTACACCAGGGTGGCGCCCGTCCCTTCTGCTCCAAATATGTGCGATCGATCAGCCAGTCGTTGGTGGGTAGGCAGCGGTGTTCTATCTGCCATTGTAGCGAGGCCATCTTCGCCGGCCTGGACTTTGTGGTGGAGAACCATCGGATAGAACGAATTGCTTCAATTCCTATATTAATTGTGAGATGTAGCTATGTTTGCAGGGGTCCCCTGTATAAGCTTAGGAGTAGTGATAGGTAGGTAGGTCGTGAAATGTGAAAATGAGAGAAGAATATAGCTTAGCTTAGATTTTGTGTCCAAGCAGGTAAACCACATGCCAGATCGGCCTGGGCAGACTTAAATATTTGCAAAGATTCTTTTCGGGGGAAAAAAAAAACGACATCAGATTCGACAAGGCGCATGATGACTCTATGGACTGGAATAGGCTTTGTATGCATTTGATGACGATCAAACATGACGTTTGGAGGATGAAGCGAGACCCCCCACGGCCTGAACGATGGCAACCAAAGATTTTGTTTTCTCGTAACATGCCGCTCCCATGGGGTTTCAATTTCCGGGAGACTGGTTTCAGAGAACTGAAAAAGATTCAACAGGCAACTCCACAGACACTGGTGGTCAAACCGCTACCTGCATTCCGGTCCTGGTCCTCCACTCGTCGAGGTCGGAGCCCAGGCGTTTTCCACCAAAGCTAGCCCACAAGGGAGTAAAGGACAGGATAGAAGGATTCTGCTCAATACCCTCGTCATTTTCCCTCGTTTCCTTCTCCCTCCCCCCTGCTTTGCCCCTGCTTAATACCTTCGTCATTTTCCCTCGTTTCCTTCTCCCTCCCCCCTGCATTGCCCCTGCTTAT